AGGCAATTATAACATGATGTTGACCCGGGTCAAACCCGGGTCAATTAAATCATGACCCGACCCGTTTCGGAGCTCTATGTAATAATAATAACATAATAATATTGCAACTAAAATATTATCACTAATAAAACACATAACACTTTTACATAAATTATTTTGACTGTGAAATAATTAATTAAATTACTCTACAAAACCTTTGCTGAAAAGCAAGACTTAGTGGATCTTAATTGTTAAAGGATATTACCAAGGGGACACCTTTGGAGAATATTGGATAAGTACTTGGTGTGAATTAAGCTAGCAGTATACTTAAATAATTAATAGGAAAGCCTTTTATCTTCTTGATGGTGAGTTGGACATAAAGGTCACTAAATCCTTGATGGAGAGTTGGATTAGTGTAGGAAAGCCACAAAAGCCTCAGGTTATCTTTGATGGCAAGTCAGATATATAAGGAAATTTCTAATTAACTTGAAATTTGGAATCCAGAACAACTTAATTAGAGCCACTAGTGGGTTACAAGCATAGTTAACTAATATTAGGCAAGGATACTCAGATTGCATGCTTGCAATATAAAGTTCAAGTATTTGGCATTTGTGAAGATTTTAGACCCAGACAGGTGAAATAATAATTTTTTTGAAAATTCTTAATCACTCTTTAAACTACAGTATATAATAACTATAATTATTATTTATTTAGATTAATTATCTTATAGAAGAATCACAGTATATTGGTAAAGGAGCTGATGCTGTGATTTCTTTTCTTCTTCACCAAGACTATATTGTTTAAAATAATTATGAACCAATAATAATTCATGCAGATAATTGTTCTGGTCAAAATAAAAACAATGCAATGATTCAATATTTGGCCTGGAGAGTGTTAACAGGTAAACATAAAAGAATTACATATTCTTTTATGGTAGCTGGCCATACCAAATTTAGTCCTGATGGGTTTTTTGAAACTTAAAAATTCAAAGTTGATGATTTAGAGGACCTTGTTGATGTTGTAGAATCATCAACAAATGGGTACAATAATGCTCAAACAATTTATGATGAAAATGGTGAAAGAAAAGTTTTTTTCCACAGCTGGACTGAATATTTAAGAAAATTTTTTCTGTGTCTTTGTTGTTATCAATGGTTTCATTACTTTTGCTACTATTAGTATGGCTGCTAGTATTATTATCAAGTGAAACCACTGATTCAGGAACACATCAATGTTTTCCCTCCACATCTGAAACACTGATGTGAATTCAATATGGAATATGGAGATGACATTAAAGAATTATCATTTTTGGTAGAATATCAAACTCCAGAATCATTTCAACATGTTCTGGAGGAAGTGCTAGTATTCCTTTAATGGAAGTTGAGGTGGTGATTAAGTTTTTTAAGAAATAGCCTTTATTAATTGGTTGGATTATAGCACACCAACTGTTAACACATGCAAAAAATCATTTTGTTTAGCATAATGGAAGAGAGACAATCAGTTATACATGATCTTTATAATCTATTGCTGAGATGTTGATATATTGCAGATTGCACTAATTATTGTATCCTATAATAAATTCAAAAATTTTAGTAGTCTTTGACATCTCAAAATGAAATTTTAATGCATACATGCTTACTTGTCATGCCAAGTAAACGTTTCAACTCAATCAACTCCATATTCAGAACTTTTTCATTGCATCCCATTCTGCTCCATCCAAAGTCAATCCACCACACAAGAGTCTTACCCACCAATTCATCTCTCTTTACCATTACATTCTCTAATCTGACATCTCCATGCATTACCCCTCTTGCATGTATTGCTTGTAAGCCCAAAATAGCCAACTTCTTCTCTTCTTTTGTGACATTATTTTCTAGCTCTGCAAAAGATCTTCCAGCAAATGGAATAAAAATAAATACAAAAGCTTCATGAAGAACTCCATATTTTAGAAGCTTTGGTATGAAAATTTCCTGGATGTCCACAAGAGGTCCAAGGTAGATTTTAATTTCATTTAGCATTTCAGTTACCAGATACTCCTTTTTATATAAGTCAACCATTTTAAGAGCACCTATTTTTTCATAAAACTTGGCTGTAAAAACAGCACCAGATCGACCACCTCCCAACAAATCACCAAAAGAAATTTGGTTGCGTTTATAATTTTTCATGTTTTTGAGAAGTTCATCATCGCTAATTGCTGTTTCTTTACCTTTTTTTGACATGCTACGAGTGAATACCCTCAAAGAATTCTTAAAAACACCCTTTTTCTTAGAACCTGATGGCCCACCATCCTTTCCATCATCCATGTCATCATCACTAATAGTATCTTCATCATCACCACTAGAATTATCATTGTCTTCAGTATTAGGTGGTGAAGAATGTGCAAATGAGACTGTTGTAGATATATTTTCAAAATAACGTACACATTCAGAGAATGAGGCATAATTATCTGTGTGTCCCTGATTGATATAAACTGCAGGAGAAATGTAAATTATGTCTGGATTTTGATATTGACAGTAAAAAAACCATGTTCGAATGTATGTTGTAAGCAAACCATATTGTAGGTCATTAACAACCATATATCCAAATATTTGTCTAATGATTCTAATAATTTTTTGATGCCTAGTATATTCTGCTGTTCCATCATCATCCACTGTCAATGCTGTGTTATATGCCTCAGACAATTCAGTTCCATCTTTTATCAAATTTCTCATTAACTGTTCAGTTTTAACTTCTACTATTGAAAGTATCTGAGAAGCTTTTAAATTTTTCAAGAGGGTTTTATTATCAGCACTACAGCGTATTGCACCTGGTTGACCTTTAACTCCTTGAAACATATAACGCTTGCCCCAACTTTCTGGTCTGTGTAAAAGAATTAATCTTTTATTGTTAATAGCAGCCATTGTATTCAAAAACATAT